GATAGATAGATAGATAGATAGATAGATCTCACCTGCATGTTTCTATCTAGCTTAAGAATAATAAATTGTCTCTCCCTGTCGTAGTTGGTTCCCACCACAGACGGGTCATCTTTACTCGTAACAGGATCTCCCTGGAACTGGATATTGGCCTTGTCTACGGTCAGCACGTTGATATGGAGGGTCACGTTGTCAGAGGTCTTGTCACAGCGAAGGTAGATCTTTACTGAGCCCTAATGGTGAGGGGAGGGAGGAGATGAGGGGGGGTGTAAAGGGGGGAACATAGACGTAAGCTTAATTTGTTGTAAGACATTAGATATAACTATAAATTTTCACCACAACGTGCGCACCTTGCTCACGGGACCTCCGAGATTTTGCCCTAATCCGAAAAGGCTTGGTGTCAGATTTTACCTACCATAAAATCAGGGGTGTAGCTGAAAGACAGCCGTAAGAAGGAGCCTAGGAGTAGCAGGAGAAAGGCTGCAGAAAGAGTTAGGAGCCCAGAGAGGGGGCTAAAGAGATGAGGGGTGGGGCAGAAAGTGGAGACGAAAGCAGACGACAGAACATTGTAACAGAGGAGGAAAGGATGTGAAAGGAGTTAATTTTAGAGAAGAAAATTATTTTTCGGTCGCTATTCGGATTCGAACCCGGGACCTACTGAGTGAGAGGCAGACAACTTAACCTCTAGACCACGAGAGCCCCATCCAAGCAAAGATTTCTTGAAAATTCGTAAAATTAGTATGCCAGTGCAGTGTGACTGAGATATTTTGCTGATAATGTTACCACTGACCAAGTCTCTGAGCTGTCGATTTGCGGCATGTTGGAGATGGAGACCAGGTTGTCAGGCCTGACCAGTGTGACGTTGAAGGTGGACTTAATGGCAGGCTCGTCAAAGCAGGGGAAAGCCTTCCTCGCATCTGTGGCCTCCATCTGGGTTGTTGCCAGGTACCTGAAGTGCAAATTAAAAATTGATAAATAATAATAATAATAATAATAATAATAATAATAATAATAATAATAATAATAATAATAATAATAATAATAATAGTAATAATAATAATAATAATAATAAAAATAATTAACCATTACCTTTTTAAATGTATTATTATTATTATTATTAGCAGCAGCAGCAGCAGCAGCAGCAGCAGCAGCAGCAGCAGCAGCAGCAGCAGCAGCAGCAGCAGCAGCAGCAGCAGCAGCAGCAGCAGTGTTATCGTTGTTGTTGTAGTTGTTGTTAGTGTTTGTGTAATTGTCATTGTAATTGTTATTATTATTATTATCATTATTATTAGTTTTATTATTATTATTATTATTATTATTATTATTATTATCATTATTACTACTATTATTAATATCACCATTACCATCTTCATCATCATCATCACCTCCATCAACAACAACAACAGCAGCGTGTCCCATCACTCACACTGGCTTTCCATCCCTGTAATACGTGCTGTAGTAGAGGCCTGACAGGTCGTCCTTGAGCGGTGACGTGAAGGTCATCTCTAGAACGTACTTCTTGCCCGCCTGAAGTAAGGCCAATGGGGTAGGGTATTAATTTAAAAAAGGATTACATTCAACCCCAGACGGTAAAAGATCAAGGCGAATACCACATGGAACCTGACGAAAAGTCACAGAAACCAATGAGCAGAGAAGTGGGAAGACTTGGAATAACATTAAAAGGCTAGCCCAGGATAGGGAAAGGTGGGAAGTGTTTGCTCGTGGCCTATACCCTGACAAATGGTGAGAAAGGCAGTGATGATGATGATGATTACATTCAACCCGTTTGTTTCTGTGTGAAAGTGTACGGCTAAATTATATATCTATTAAGATGCATAATATATGTGTGAAAATGAATGTTCAAGGTACATGTGGGTGCCTGTGTGTGTACGTGTTTGTGTGTGTATGTGTGTGTGTGTGTGTGTGTGTGTGTGTGTGTGTGTGTGTGTGTGTGTGTGTGTGTGTGTGTTTGGAAAGGGGAGGGGGTACTTGGTGAAACGCCAAACTAATGAGCCAGGATCTGGACAATACAGATTCATCTTATCTTATCTTATAACACACGGATAGATAGATAGATAGATAGATAGATAGATAGATAGATAGATAGATAGATAGATAGATAGATAGATAGATAGATAGATAGATAGATAGATAGATAGATAGATAGATAGATAGATAGATAGATAGATAGATAGATAGATCTCACCTGCATGTTTCTATCTAGCTTAAGAATAATAAATTGTCTCTCCCTGTCGTAGTTGGTTCCCACCACAGACGGGTCATCTTTACTCGTAACAGGATCTCCCTGGAACTGGATATTGGCCTTGTCTACGGTCAGCACGTTGATATGGAGGGTCACGTTGTCAGAGGTCTTGTCACAGCGAAGGTAGATCTTTACTGAGCCCTAATGGTGAGGGGAGGGAGGAGATGAGGGGGGGTGTAAAGGGGGGAACATAGACGTAAGCTTAATTTGTTGTAAGACATTAGATATAACTATAAATTTTCACAAAACCAGGTGGGGGGGGGGGGGGGGGAAGGACATGCCTTAGTTATTTAACAAAGAAAGGACTTGATCTAGTTTGCTTGTTGTTGTGGGTTTTTTTTTTACCTAAAGAGAGAATTTCTAGTTTCTTTGTTACTTCACATTAATTTAACCATGACAAGACATGAACTCGATTGATATTTGACTAAGACAGGTCATGATCTAGTTAGATATTTGACTAAGACAGAATAAGGTTACAGAGACACAAAAGAAAAAAGGAAACTGGCAATTGTTGTCACAGGAAATAATACTTTTTGATGAATGATGTCACTGAATATAGACAAATGTTGTTACATACACAGGACGAGTGAAATTGTAAATGTAAATCTTTGAATTCCCTTTCCTCAAAACTATGTGTTTTGGATATAGAACTCTGTCTTTCGATTGGCTTGAACAGTCAATGGAGGCACACTACACACATTTTAAATACATGACATGTTTCTAAACCCTATTAACACAGTTAAGATCATTCAGTAGGTGGGTTTCCGACCCTGATTGTCAGCGGGAAACCGGGCTGGGAGGGATACAATGACCCAGGAATACAATAACCCAGGGATACAATAACCCAGGGATACAATAACGGGATACAATAACCCAGGGATACAATAACCCAGGGATACAATAACCCAGGGATACAATATAATTACCCAGAGATACTATAACGGGATACTATAACGGTATATAATAACGGGATACAATAACGGGATGCAATAACCCAGGGATACAATATAATAACCCAGGGATACAATAGCCCAGAGATAAAATAACCCAGGGATACAATAGCTCAGGGATACAATAACCTAGGGATACAGTATCCCAGACATACAATAACGGGATACTATAACCCAGGGATACAATAACCCTGGAACACAATAGCCCAGGGATACAATAGCCCAGAAATGCAAGAGTATAGGGATACAATAACCCAGGGATACAATAACCCAGGGATACAAATGCCCAGGGATACAATAACGGGATACAATAGCCCAGGGATAAAATAACGGGATACAATAGCCCAGGAATACAATAACGGGATACAATAAGCCAGGGATACAATAACCCAGGGATACAATAACCCAGGGATTCAATAACCCAGGGATACAATAACAGGATTCAATAGCCCAGGGATACAATAACGGGATGAAATAACGGGATACAATAACGGGATACAATATCCCAGGGATACAATATCCCAGGGATACAATAACGGGATACAATATCCCAGGGATACAATAACGGGATGAAATAACGGGATACAATAAGCCAGGGATACAATAACGGGATACAATAACGGGATACAATAACGGGATACAATAACGGGATACAATAACCCAGGGATACAATAACGGGATACAATAGCCCAGGGATACAATAACGGGATACAATAACCCAGGGATACAATAACCCAGGGATACAATAACCCAGGGATACAATAACGGGATACAATAGCCCAGGGATACAATAACGGGATACAATAACGGGATACAATAACGGGATACAATAACCTAGGGATACAATAACGGGATACAATAACGGGATACAATAACGGGATGCAATAACGTGATACAATAACCTAGGGATACAATAACGGGATACAATAACGGGATACAATAACGGGATACAATAACGGGATACAGTAACGGGATACAATAGCCCAGGGATACAATAACCCATTGATACGATTGCCAAAGGATACAATAACCCTGGGATACAATAGCTCAGCAGCAGAGTTTCCGAAATCCACGATAAAAATGTCTTTCCGCTTAACCATAATCGAACTTGGGTTTTCTTACTTGCGACAGCGAAGTGTCTAACCGCTGCACCACAGACACTGGTACACAATAATTAACTCACCGAAGACGCGCACTCTGGTCATATGACAATACCTTAAGATAAACAGTTTAGTACCCTTTGAACCCTGGCCTCCAGGGGTTTCTATGCCTGAGCTCCTGGGCTATTCACGCCTTCATTTATATCATCACCAGAATCACATTCCATATTCTACTCAGAGTAATGATGATTACAGGCTAATAGTTAAAAGATTGCATTTATATTAGCGCTCGAATCCTTACGAGTAAGCCCTGATCGCTTTACATCAATCACATGATCACTGAAAAGTATTAATTCATTCACAGATTTCAAGATATGCCACGGTAAAAATAGAAACCATTTCAACCACATAAAGAACAATCACAATCCCACTTTACTTATATGCGCGTAAGGACAGCAGTAACTACAAAACATAATTATCAGCACTAACTATCACACTACAACAAAAAATTAAACAAAATTGTATGCCTTGAGCAATCGTTTAAATGTAGTCCTCAACATTACAAGCATCCTCGTACTGATTTTTCAGTCCTGTTTTCTTTAGATTAAAGTAAAAGCGTAAGGCAGGCAACAACATGTATTGCGTCATAATATTATGATATATGCACATTCGTGCTTTTGATTTTTGTTTTGTTTCGTTTTGTTATTTTTGTTTTTGTATTTTACGGCACTCGCAACTGCATAAGTTCGTATGAGCGCATGGGACACATAAAGCGTTTTCAGTTCGGTAGGAATTATTTTTGATTTTTACCCGTCTGGCGGACGAAGTCCACTCTTATTCTCGATTTCAGGATCACCAAGGGATCTTTAACGTGCACATCTTGCCTCAAAAAATGTTCACTCGTATCCGAGAAGGCTGAGTGTTCAATCTAACCTACCCTAAGATCAGGGTTGTGGCAGAAAGACAGCAGTTAGAAGGCGCCAAGGAGTAGCAGTAGAAAAACTGCAGAATGAGTCAGGAGCCTAAAGGAGGGGGTAAAGGGGAGGGGGCAGGTGGGAGCAGAAAGCTGAGACGAAAACAGACGACAAAAATGGTTAGAGAGCAGGAAAGGTGGTGAATGGAGACGATTTTAGGAGAAGAAATTTGTCGGTGCCACTGTCAGGTTTCGAACCCAGGATCTATTGAATGAGAGGCAACCACCACACTTTTAGACCACGGGAGCCCCCTTTTGAGTGTGCATAGTGGTTTAACATAATATGCTGTAAAAACGATCAAATGGTTCGGACATCTCCTACGATTACCAACACACCATCCAGCACAACGTGCCTACATCCAAAAATTCGATGGCAACAAAGCTAGAGGGCGACCGAGAAAGACCTGGATAGATGGAATCAGGGAAACATTAACCACCCTCGGCATCCCCTTGACCCAAGCTCTCCCAAAAGGGTATAAGCGGCAGATAAAAGTTAAAGTAAAGTAAAAGTAAAAACGATATACGATACCTTGAATGTGAACTTTTTCGGGTCCGCAACGTACATATACGGCTGAAGTCGGACGTCATAGTGTTCTGGGTACACGTTGTCCGGAAGTCTCACGTCTCTCACCTTGACCCTGCTGCTGGGTGTGGCAGGGGGCGTGGTCGCGTGACCAATAAAAGGGCCAGACTGAGTGACCGAGGAGGATGGACATTGTCCACCTAATAAGAGAAGAGAAGATGAGAGAAGAGAAGAGAAGAGAAGAGAAAAGAAGAAAAGAGAAGAGAAGCTAATGATCCGAATTTATTAGTACCAGAAAATCAACAAAATAGCGATTCATCGTCATTTAAAATATGCTCTCATTACATTTATGATCAACCACACACATGCATATACCAGAACATTGACATAATAATACAAAGATTCAGTATCAACAAAATGCACAATGCACTCATTATATTCACTTTTAAATACTGTGGAAACCTGATATAACAGGGATGGTGGGAGTAGAGAAAATGTCCAGTTATATCCGATCCCTGTGAATTCAGAAATGCAAGGAAAGTAAGCATTTGTGGACTAATCCAGCTGTACTTATTCGTGGGTAATTTCCTTTGCCACAAGTACCCACGAACAGGGGTTTTGGCACCAACTTTCTCCATTGCCTCACATCAGAAGAGATTGGTCCACAGCATCTGCATCGGGTAGTCTCATCTTCTTTCGATCCAGAGCAAACTTTCCATTGGAGTATGCTGCCACTATCTTCTCTCTATCCTGGGTAATGGTGTGAATCGACCCTTGTGGAATGTCGAACTGACGACAAATCTCTGCCAGTGGAGCTTGCTTTTTGTCAACAGCCTGGATTTTTTCGTATTTTTTGTCAATTGAAAGGCATTTTCTCGTGTGCTTGACATCGTTGGTGACACATTACGCGTGTGTGTTGCTAGGTTTCGGGCTAGATCGAGGTCTGCAGCAAACCGCAGCCCTCTCTCGCTTCACACACTGCGTGTGCTTGCAGTGGCATGGCCTGCGTGGGCTTGCTCCATCACTGCGTTACTCTCTCTCTCTCTCTCTCTCTCTCTCTCTCTCTCTCTCTCTCTCTCTCTCTTACTTTTTACACATTGTAACGAGCCTTTGTCCCTGCTATAACCGGTTGGGCTCAGATGTGGCCCTGTTATTGCCGATAACTTTTAATAGAGACAAAGAGTAGGAAAAAACTGAGATTTAAAAAATCCCTGTTATTACCGGATCCCTGTTATTACCGGGCCTGTTATATATGGTTTCCACTGTATAAACATACAACATACAATGCACAACTCATCCATTCAAGCATACCCAAACAATGTGTTCATGAGCTCCATCCTCTCTCTCTCTCTCTGTCTCTCTCTCTCTGTCTCTCTCTGTCTCTCTCTCTCTCTGTCTCTGTCTCTCTGTCTCTCTCCCTCTCTCTCTCTCCCTCTCTCTCTCCCTCTCTTTCTTCCCCCCCCCTCTCTCTCTCTCTTTCTCTCCCCTCTGTCTCTCTTTTCTTACTCTCTCTCTCCTCTCTCTCTCTCCCTTTCCTTCTCTCTCTTTCTCTCCCCTCTCTCACCTATCTCTCTTTTCTTACTCTCTCTCCTCTCTCTCTCTCTCTCTCTCTCTCTCTCTCTCTCTCTTTCTTTCTTTCTCTCCTCTCTCTCTCCCCTCTCTCTCTTTTTTACTCTCTCTCCCTCCCCCTTCTCTCTCTCTCTCTCTCTCTCTCTCTCTCTCTCTCTCTCTCTCTCTCTCTAACAGAAGAAGGGACAGATGAGTTCTCATGATATATTTCTTTTTTCTTTAACAGGCTGGAGGACTTTATAGAAAATGTAACGAAAAAAAGAGTGATGGGAGAATGAACGAGGACCATTGTCCTTATAACATAGAAAAGGATGTACCACTCATTCTGTTGCCTTTTAGATGATTACTTATCATTACTTATTACTACTTAGTATAGCTTATTATTGCTTATTATTACCTATTATTACTTATCATTACTTATAGTTGCTTACCATTACGTATTATTACTTACAATTACGTGTTTTTACGTACTATTTCTTCTTCTTATTACTTACTATTACTGATTATTGCTTATTATTACTTATCATTGCTTATTATTGCTTATTATTACATTTCGTATTTTCACTTATTATTACTTATCATAGCTTATTATTGCTTAGTATTGCTTATTATTACTTATTGTTACTTATTATTGCTTATTACTTTTTATTGCTTATTATTACTCATTATTACTTAATTACTGTTGCTTATTTTATGTTATTATTGCTTATTTCTTCTTATTATCGCACATTGTTGCTTATTATTGCTTATTATTACCTATCATTGCTTTTATTGCTCATTACAATTTTGTTAGGTAGCGTGGTGAAATCAGTCGTTCGTCACAATAACAACATCGAAGAAATCTGCATTTTTCGGCCAGTTTGGAAATTATTTTCATCAATTTTTTTTTTACTCAACACCTTGTATGTCTATATAAAAATATGTTTCCGTGTGAATTTAATTTAAGAACGTTGATTAAAGCCACAAAATATGCCATTTTTCAGTTTTCATGGACTCCCAAGCTATTGAAATTATCAAACTTTGGCGGCCATTTTCTCGCCAATTTTACTACTGAAACCAGGTGATCCCAGCTCCTTCAATCGCAAGCATCTTGACTTCTATTCAAGATAGATTGGTGCTTTTTACATTGACAGCAAGGCAAATAAATAAGCGTTCAGATAATACCAATAACTCCACATGCAAAAAGTTTGACGATTTTCACCGCGTTGTGACACATTAGTATTGCTTATTATTACTTATAATTACTTATTGTTGCTTGTTATTGCTTATTATTGCTTTTGTGACGTCTCTAAATACAGGACAGTACAACTCACAGATGCTATCATCTCCTCGCCCGGCCATTTTTGCACACTGCTGTAAGACGGACTGAGCAGAAGAAGCGCCTGTCTGTCCGGCCCCCGAGCCACAGTTACACACCAGCCCCCGGTCCCCCTCGGCGAAATGCACTATAATGCCCACTCCGACAGCGATCAAGATGGCGACCAGTGTCAAAGCCACGCCTACCACACCGCTGACGTAACATCCGCCATTCTTCTTTTCGCCGGAAGCCATTTCCAAGCTGCTCTGACGACTACTGTCGGTGGTGTTTGAATCTTTTGTCTCGTACTTTTCATTTGCCATTCTGGGGAATTAGAAATAAAGAGTTACTAAATAAAAAAAGAACGTATAATTAAGGGGACAGAACATAAAAGATTTCAGGTTAGTTGCCAAGATAAAATTAGCGCGAAAATGGACGCCAATGTTTGTTAAGCTCTAAGATTCTGTGTCCTTGGAGACTGAAAATGTATATCAATTTCAATGCCTTTGAGCAACGGATTTTTATTAAAATTCACACAACTGTCTTTAAAACTGGAATAAATTATAGAAGTTCAAACACTAAAATAAGCTTCCTGACAAAACCTTTCGCTGTCTACGGCCAGGTTTCTATTCTCGCCAGGATGAAGTGAGGAAAATCCTTATAAAGTGCCTTTCCCAAGAACACAAGATTACGTCGGGCCTCAGGGTCGAACCCCCGAACCTGCTACCTCACGATAACGAGACCGTTAGCCTAACCACTAGACAACTCGCTACCCTAGAATTACAAAGATCTATCTACTCAGTACCTAGTTTTGAGAAATTTGTCGCAAAAAGTTTGAGTTTCAAAACAAGTCAAACATTTTCGACGACAATTCTTTGAATATCTTGATAATGACGCCGAATAATCGTACTATTTTGATAGAGCAGATAGAACATTAAATGTGGTTTCTGACCTCATGGTCTTAGTAACTTAAATAGCTAAAAGCTTTATGATTCTAAGGTAGCGTACTCTAATTCACGAGAAAGCCAGGCTCAGCACGGGAGAGAGGCGGGCAGAAGAGGTTTGAGGACAAACTAAAGATGTTGCCAGCACAAGGTTGTCGTCATTTCTTGATGACTGTAGGCCTAATGACCTAATAGGAAGGAACACAAGTGATTGTTCAGATTCAATGTTTAAGACAGCAAAACACGAAAAACATCATTTTCGAAGTTTGGTCGAAAGTCGTACCGTTGATTCTAGACCAGAGAGTGGGTGGTTGGCGGGCGGGTGTTCTGGTGTGGTTTGCTCCTTCTTTCCTTTCAAACATACAGTCAAACCTATGTAAGACGGCCACCCATTGTCAAGGAGAAAAGTGGCCGTATAAGACAGGTGGCCGTCTTAGGCAGGACTGATCAAGATGAAGAAAACAAATTATTCCTATCAGAGGTCCCAATCGAAAGTAGCCGCATTCTTGTTTTTGTTGTTGTTGGTGGTGGTGGTTTGTATTTTGTTTGTAATTTTTATTTTGTTGCTGATTTCGCAAAAGGGTGACAATAAAACGAAATGTATCAGACGAGGAAGACCGAGTGCGATGTAAAAACAAGCTCATGGGTCGCCACCACTCGGAGAACGAGCGACGTTTCTGTCACAAGTTCATGTTGACGTCCTTTGTTACTTTGTTACAGACTGGGTAAACAGTGACCACTCATCTCCCTTACGATTTGTGTTTAAGTTCTGGGCGGGGCTTATGGGTTATGAGGGATCACACGCTTACCTCACCAGCAGCTGAAAATTGGTAGCTATTGGTCAACAGTGGGAGGGGCTTACGCAACATGATCGGTTGGAGGGACTACCTAACAACAGCGACAGGGGATTGAATTATGACGGCTCGCCCACAACGTCAGGGGCCAAAGCACAATTTATGACTAAACGAAATGGAGTCACTAAGGTGGCCGTCTTAGACGGGTGTTATTGCTTAGTGTGACCGGGGTTGTGTGTTGAAATAAGGTGGCCGCGGCCGCGTTGGACAGGTGCCCGTTTTACACAGTTAAATTATATAGAAAAAACGCAAGAGGGGAAATGGAAAGTGGCCGTTTGTACAGGTGGCCGTCTTATAGAGGTGGCCGTGAGGGCAGGTTCGACTGTATATCGTCCTTGTCTCTCCTCCTCCTTTTTAGTGTATGTTACTCTCTTGTAACACATCTATTCTTCGGCACTTATATGACCTTATTGTGTTGCAAGTGCAATAAACCTCTAATTAAAACTAAACTAAATATCTCGAGAGGCGAGGCACATTCAAGAGGCAATTTTTTTAAACGCGAATTTTCATCATTGAAGAACGGCAAAAATTGAGGCAGCTTGAATTCAGTACTTTTATAAATAACTAGCTGGGCCCCCTTTCGATGAAAGGAATGATCGGTGCATTAACATCAACTGAAAATCATTGGTCTACTATATTTACACTCTACTGGAATGGAGCAATAAATCTTGTGAGAAAAGTGACACATGTGTTTCCAAGTGGCCAAATACAAAATAGATGCATAGATTGATTCTCTAATCCGCTTGAAATAAACAAACCTGGCGGATTTTCTAAAATTACAGAGATAGAAGCGTCGGTCTACAAAACTGATCCGCGAAATAAAGAAATTTAGCTTTTTGCAGCAAAACTGTCTCAAAACTGAAAAAACGAAGGTCGTCATGATCTGGAGAATATTTTAAAGAATCGTTTGGCGAAAACCGCATGTCGATCGATGGAGACATTAAAAAGCCTTTTGAAAGCAAAATTCGGCCACCACAAATAGATAATAGATTATTATTTTTGGCAAAACACGATCAGAACTGTAGACCTTTTTGACTAAACGCGACAAAAGAGATAGACCTGTTTGACAAACCACGACATTCGTGCACCAAACGAGCTCTTTCCTCAAGTCTAGTAACTTCGCTTACGGACGGCAAGAGTTTGTCGGAGGTTCTTTCCCTTCTGCATTATAGTAATGTGAATATTATGATGTTGCGTTTTGTCAACACATGTGTGAAGATCTTATCAATTTAAAGGATGGGAATCCAACATAGATTTCATCATACAATAATAAATATCATCTAAGCCTTACATCATGCTTAGTCTAAAAACAAATTTGCTTAAGATTATTCAGCAAATAAGGGAAAAATAGATTTTGGTTAAAGAGAAAGAGGAAAATATTATAAGGAAAGATATTAAGAAAAAGGTAGATAGATAGATAGATAGATAGATAGATAGATAGATAGATAGATAGATAGATAGATAGATAGATAGATAGATAGATAGATAGATAGATAGATAGATAGATAGATAGATAGATAGATAGATAGAGAGAGAGCGAAAAGAGAGAGAGAGAGAGAGAGGAGAGAGAAAGGTAGAGAGAGGAGAGGAGATGAGAGAGAGAGAGAGAGAGAGAGAGAGAGAGAGAGAGAGAGAGAGAGGGAGGGAGAGAGAGAGAGAGAGATGGGGGGGGGCGGAGAAGAACAGAAAAGAATGACATACACAAAGGCACAATGCTTTGTCATTGAAAACCTAAACACAAGCCACAGGTATGCATACATACTTCATAAAAATTATTTTTCTCATTAAAACCAAGACCGGATCTTCCAACACCTACCTGCTCCCACACAAGACGACAAATGTTCTGTTTCTCTCTGTATTCGGGAAATCATGCAAGACTCACATTATCTGAATCTGATTAATCCTTTTTCTTTTTTTTTCTTTTTTTGTTTGAAGATAAGAACTTTTTATAAAGAGTGTTCTACTTAAGATCAAAAATATTTTTTTAAACAAACGCATCCAAGGCTATCTGAACCTGAAGATAACTTTTCCTTTGACAGATAAAAGATAAGGACTCTTCAGAAAGTGTGGGTTTTTTTAACTTACGATAATTCCTTTTAAAAATTAAAGAGGACTCCTGGTCAAGAGTTTCTTCTACTGTGTTTGAGGAGTCGAAGAGTAGCACATTGGTTACCTGATAACGGTCAGTATTCCTGGGAAAGTTGGAAACGGGCCGATAGTGATAGAAACACAGTGATCGTTATGGATGGTTCCCACAACGAATCGGTTCCCCAGAATTACAAAGTTCTATCTTCTAGGTACTTAGTTTTGAGAAATTTGAGATAAAATGTTTTGAGTTTCCAAAACGTCAAGCTGCTTTTTCGAATGCAGTAATTTGTATTATCTTGATAACGACTCCGAATAATCTTACGATTTTAGTAGACCAGATAGAACATTGTGGTTTCTTGGTCACTCAAAACGGCCAAAAATGTCAGATAGAACTTTGTAATTCTAAGGTAGCGGAATGTCTCCCTCTTTGACCTGGACTTCTTACACTACCCCGTGTGATAACGGAGCGGATTGTGGTGGTTCTCAGCGACACTTCACCGTGGCTTTCCTGTCCTAGGACTACTCCCGGAACACATTCTGAAGACAAAACAAAAACAAAGACAAACAAAAGAAAAAGAAAAACAAAACAAAAAACAAAAACAATAACAACAAACGCAATTAAAATCAAAAGCTCACCATGACACAGGAGATTTACTTTGTACTTCATTTTTAGACGAATTCTTTCCCAATCTTGAGTCTGGCGCTTAACCATTTCTGTATGGTGCGCAAGTTCGTCTCGCACACAAGTTCGTCTCGCACACAAGTTCGTCTCGCACACTTGCATCGCACACTTGCATCGCACAGTTGTTTTAACCCTCTGTCTACGGATGGCTTATCATTATGAAATAAACATCCAATGGGGTAGAATCGGTTCTTCCATTTAATAAACTCACTGTTTGATCGTACAAAAACGGAAATACTGGTTAAAAAAAAAAAAAATGTATTTGATTTTTTTGGATTTTTGTGTTAAGTCTGTTAACTCTTTGAACTCCAGCCCCTGCTCTTGGCCCCCTGAACCCAACCGGCCCTGATCTCCTTTAGTTCCTGAGCAAAACATTGAGAAAAATTTGGATAGGATTAGTAAACACATCACTATCCTAGAATTATAAAGTTCTAACTGCTCAGTACATATTTTTGAGAAATTTGACGTTTAAAATGTTTGAGTTTCACAAAGAGTAAAGTTTTTCAAATGCAATTGCAATTCTTCGAATATCTTGATCAGGACTCAGAATAATTTTGCGATTTTTATAGAGCAGATAGAAGATTTGGTTTCTTCTGACCTTATGGTCTTATATACTTATTCCAAACTCTTACTAAAAATAAGAAACTATAGAGCTTCCCTATAGCTCCACCCATGTTCAATATATCTGCAAAAGCCAAACATCACTGGGTACAATTGATCAACGGTCCTATCGGAGACGGACGTTAAACTAGAAGGTCCCGCCCCTATATAACCTAATAGTGTTGATAGGGGCGTTAAACCTATACCATTTCACCTAGCGAGGAAAATCAAGTAATTTAAATAATTGACAATTACTAGAGCCATTTATCAATGCTTTCTCTTGAGCTTGCCAAAATGAATGTTGTGCTTGTTATCATCTTATCACTACACACAGTGACACAAGGAATGTAACACAGCCATTTGATAGGACAGTCTGTGGTCCCATGGAAACACGTTTCAATTAAATGGCTAACTTAACAGCTCTAAAATCCAGGAAAGATCATAACCATTTACAATACGGTATCTGTGATGAGCAATGCATAGACTAGAGCAATTTCTCCTGTCTGGCTGCAGAGTCTAAGGGATCTTGCATTTGAATGAATTGTTGTTTGAAAAACTGTAATTTTTGCCGTCAGCTGTACCTGATCGATCAGTGCAAGATCAAGGCATATCACCATCAGCTCCCACCACCACAACCTCAGCTCTTTCCACCTGTGAAGCCATGTCCCACTACTCCTACACCCCAATCACTGTCCCAATTTTCCTGCCCCTGCCCCAGTTCACCACGCACTTATATCATCTTTGAGACCATGTATATGTATATTATATATTCGATATGCATAGTATTATGCTTTGTATATGAAGATCACAGGGGGAAAACAGCCATAGTCACAAACTGAAAATCGTGAGGGTATCATTTTTTAACGCTTGTTGATCTCATAACTGTATTTCTGTTCAACTGCTGGTTGATCATTGTTGTTAGATTTCCCATTCAACAAACACACCAATAAACGACCAATCAAACAAATATGAAGTT